ATGCAGCCCACTTACTGTGGCCAGCCTCAGACACGTTGCTTTGGCCTCCTGTTTCTAGCCCTATTGTTTGGATGGGGGTTGGGGAGCAGGCAGAAATCTGGAGCTTTATTTAAGAGGGGAATAACTAGTTGATATACTAGTTTTCAATATAGCACAGACTTCATTAGAAAACAGCGGGTTCAGGAATGATCTCCAGATGCTAGTGACCTACCATGCCTATCATCTTTCATAACTGGTTGTGCTGGCTGGAACTGGGGGGAGTTACAGCTCAACCTTTACCATTGTGATAACTTGTTATAAAGATACTGTCTTACAATGTTTTATTCTATGTGTATTTTACCCAGTGTAAGCTACCCAGAATTGTTACACGAGATGGGCTGCTATATGAATCAAATAAATAAATATCCTTTTCCAGCATCAAAAGCCACTTCACATTAGGAAAGGGATAGAGGGGATGATTTCTCAGTAGTTTCTTTCGCTTAATGTAGACAGCAATGATCTATGGTACTATTTCAAACTTTTTTTCTCTTAGGACCCCTTCCCACTTTTAAAAATTATGAAGGACCCCAAAACAGTTTTTGTTTGTATGGGTTATATTTATTGATATTTACCATATTAAAAATTAAAATCGACACATTTGCTGCCACTATCGCTTCTTACCATTGTTTGATGGGATTTTAATATCATATTATTTTTCAACAGGCTGGCAAATCATTTTGATTTTGTGGACCCCTGAGAGGATCTTGGGGGACCCCCAGGGGTCCTAGGACCACACTTTAAGAAACACTGATCTATGGCATAATGATCCACTACCTATCTTGTCTTGTCTAGTTTAAAGACGAGTTCTCTCCTCCTTGTTCTCTCTAAAAAGATAATACCATGGGGTCATCCTGGTTAAGAATTCTCAAGTTAACTCGTGGAGCACAAAACAAGGTTAGAATAATTGTCTGCTAGCCATCCATTTCTGTACTGTTCTTTCTAGATCAGTATTGAACAAGCATGGATTTTCAAAATGTCTTGGTACAATAGTGCAGAAGGTCAAATGGAAGAAGCCCTTGATGCCGAGGAAGAAAACGTAATGGTGATGGATGAAAATATTCTGGAAGAGACAAATTATACAAAAGTGAGAGAGAGAATGATGAGAGGTTTATTTCCAAAGTCCCAGTCTGTTGTTTAAGCTGTTCCTTGAAGTATGAATGATCTATTAAATACCACAATTCAAATGACTCTGTACAGTATCCACAAACTAAATCAATTTTAGCCCACGAGCTCATGTCTTGACTAATGCAAGAGTAATGAAGGACACATTTACCAGTTTAGAAAGGCATCCCCATGAACATGGAATAGTTCTCATGTTTCTGACAAATTAGTGGTTTTGGTCTAATCCAGCTTCACCTCAGGCAAGAAAAGGTCGGTGGTGACACCAGCACAAAGCTGGAGCCATCCTGTGAAATGTTGGAATAAATGAAGGGCAAGTCTGGAGCCAGAGAATTTAGGATGCACAGGCATGAAGTGCAGGAAGCAGGACAGATCAGTTAGAACTGAAATGCAGATAGAAGATCAAGGCCTTTCAACATATTTCAGTCCCATCCTATGATCATCAAAAGAGCAACCCAGGTGATAGGATCCTCCCATTTGGGTCTCCATTTGGCAGTGTTTTCAGCTGATGCTTCTCAAAAGTGAGGTTTCAAAAAGGAGCTTGTTCCAAAAGGGTGTGGAGACAGGCGATAGATCTGCAAATCCTGCCCTTGAAAAAGAGAAAAAACAAGGCCAGCTCCTGAACCGGTATAGACGGAACCCCTCCCTGGGACAACGAAACAACCGGATTAGTGGGGGAAGCCATTATTGTCATCTTCTGCCCCACCAACGCAAGCCTTGTTATTTTACCCAGGTTCTTCTGTCTCCTTTTCCGTAATGGAATGCATGCCATCCGCTGCTTCACTAGGGAGTAAGGGGGATGGATCTAAAGACCCTGGGTATTCCAGACATCACCCTGAAACAGGAAAAACAATGCTGGTTCTTGGGTGACATAACTTATTTTCACCTCCCTTTGCAGCCACTGGGAGATTCAAA